CTGCCACCGAGGGCACGGGCACGCCTGCGTGCCCGACTCCGGCGCCTTCGCTTCGCTGCGCCCCTCCCTCCGCGACGCCGCCGCCTTTGGAGGCTTGGAAATTGACACCATCACCAACACAGGGGGTTGCCTCCACCAGGGAAGGATGATCCTAGAATTCGGTGTTGGTGGTAATCTTTCGGCCGCCTGGGAAGCCAGAATATTACCACCATCACCGAGATTGGAATATTCTTCCCTCGGTGGAGGCACAACGCCGATATTGGTGTTGGTGTCAACCTCTAGGTCTCCCACCCCTGGCTGCCAGGTGATCGCCGAGAAGCCCCAGGACGCCTACGGGCTCGTGGAGGTCCTCAGTCGCCTGGTCAAGGCCTCCAGCGGTCGCCGTCATTGTCGTCGTCGTCGTCGTCGTCGTCGTCGTCGTCGTCGTCGTCGTCGCTTCGTCGTCGTCGTCGGGATCCTCCTTCTCCTCCGCCTCTTTCTTCCTCCGTCTCCCCCTCATCTTCCTTCCTGCCTCCTCCCTCCTTCCCCGGAGACTCTTCCTCCTCCCCCTCCTCCTCCTCCTCCTCCTCCTCCTCCTCCTCCTCCTCCTCCTCCCTTCTCTGCCCCTGGCGGTGATCGTGTCCTGCTAAGACTGCTGACAGCAAGCCGTGAGCTTGCACCGTGTATTGGCAGCGCCTATCTCCGTACTGCTTCCAGTTCCTGGTCCACCACCCGCAGGTTCCGACAGGTTACAGATACCTGCGGGTTCTGGTGCTGTGCGGTCGGGGGAGATGAGACGGCCCCTTTCTTCCCTTGTTCGTCCCTGCTCCCTCTGCTGTCCTCGCTCGTTCCCGCCTTATCCTCGTCGTTTCTCGCTTGGCTTCCCCCCCCTGCATCGAGTGTTCGTGCACGAAATTCCCGAGACAGTGTCTGAGCATCGGCTGGCCATGCTTTGCATGCATGGTTCAGTATACTTGACTTGTAACTCCTTGCGTCCTGGCGGGAAGTGCGGGCCCAATGGGTTCCTCTCTCTCTCTCTCTCCTCCACGCCCGCATTCGAGTGCTTGCCCGCAGGCGCGTTCAGATACGTGCCCTTCTCATCAGAGGCGTCCAGATGGATCAAAGACCCACGGGAAGGTGAGCGCTCATCCTCCCTCCTCCGCCTCCATCCTCTGCCTCTTCCCTCCTCCTCGTCCTCGTCCGCCTCCGCCTCCGCCTCCATCCTCTGCCTCTTCCCTCCTCTGCCTCCATCCTCTGCCTCTTTCCTGCTGCTCCTCCTCCTCCTCCTCCTCCTCCTCCTCCTCCTCCTCCTCCTCCTCCTCCTGAGCTCGCCGCGCGCGCGCTCCCTCGTGCGCCGTGCGCGGGGGAGGGGGGGGGGAAGCAGAAGGGTATTGGCGGTGGTCCCGTCGTTGGCCTCATTGCGGGTTAGGCATTTGACCCGCGCCCTCGGGTCAGGACACGACGTAAGCGCAAGAATCATCCCCGTCGCCGTCGTCGTCGTCGTCGTCGTCGTCGTCGAAAGCACCCAACGTTATGATGCTTTCATAACGTCGACCCCAAGAGCTCGCGACCCCTTCCCCGGGACTGGCTGCTCCCCCCGAGTCGTATGTTGACGGCCCCGAGGCCCCGTCGGGGCCCCCAGAGGCTGAAAATCGTGGAACGCCTTCCGTCGCGTTTTTTGTCTCATGGCTCGAGGGGGCCTGGGATCAGGGGGCCTGGGATCATGGCCGTCATCATCTTTAGATTCTTCATCGCCACCGATACCACCTGTCACTGCCGTCGGAACCGTGGTCGTCGAGGCTGGAATTAAGTCGGGCGTGTCCCCCTACTGTGGGGTTTTCGACGAAAAACAAGCAAATATTGAAACATATTCCCAAATGGTCAAGAAATGCTCAAAAAATAGTCCCCACATTATTTTTTGTCAATTTTTGAATTTCCCCCTGTAGATGGACAGGCCCGACTGAAGGCTGGCGTGCCTCGACCGACCGGCCCTGTCCCCGGGCGGTCCGCCAGACCGACCGGCCGCACCGACCGCCCCGCCCCCCTGCCTTCGGGGGCTCGTACCGCCCGGGCCCCCTCGAGGCATGGACAATTGGGCGTTGCGTAATGGAGGGGTCATAAATGGGGGGGTGTCGCGGGTGGTCCGAAAAGGTACCCAAACGGTACCTAAAAGGGGACCGTTTCTGACCCCCCCACTAAGCCACGCCCAAGACAAGCACAGCGGGAGATTTTTCGCTACCGTCAGCTCTCAGGGGGCCCTGGCCGGGCCTCGAGGCCCTCAGGGAAGGACTCGGAAGGGAGGGCCAGCCCCAGGGAAGGGGCCGAGAGCTCGGGGGGTCGACGCAGTGAGAAGTCGTGACGTCGGGGGTCTGGGAGGGGAAAAGGGGGGCGGTTGTGGCCCAACCTGGGGTCAAGGAGCGAAGCCCGCGAGGGACTCACGCAGGGCGATTTTCTTGCAGCCCGCCGCCTGATCCCCCCCCCCCCCTTGCCGGACCTCCGACGCGGTGCCTTTTTTTTTTTTTTCGCCGCGTGTGCAGTCGCAGAGGCCTGGGCCCCTTCCAGGGGAGCAAGGCTTCGTACTCTGGGTTGTTTTTTGACGATTCCGGGGCCCAGTAATTCGGGTATAGCCAGGACCCCAGGTAAGGGGACCCGGTTAGTAGTAGGGCCCTGGAGCCCCTAAATTGGCCAGAATCATCAAACCAGGTCTGCCGTACCTGGTGTTTTTTTTCGGGTGACAGCAGTTCCGATTAGTGGAACGGGGCGGGGGGGGGGCGTCCCCCAGTACACATCACCAACCCAGGTCCCACTAAACCTAGTTCTGCCAACGCCCGAGTAATGATCGGCCACGTGCAGAGGGAGGTTTGGGGGAGTGGGGAAGGCCTCTTAGAAGCTTAGAAGGGGAGTGGAGAAGGCTTCTTAAAAACTTGGAGGCTGCTTCTTAGAAGGCGTGGGCCTCACCTGTAGATGTAAGGCCGGCGCCTTCTGAGAAGCAGCGAAGCCTTCCTCCTTCCCCCTGTCCCCTTGTGCGCGCCGCCGAGATGACTTGGCATCGCTCGGACGTGTGCATTTTTTTCTCGGCGAGGTCCATCGAGGGGCATCCTGGATCATCGAGCCCCCCAAAATACGCACGAAACCGAAACATGCACGGGGAATGGACGTCCGAGCGATGGCGAGATGAGGCTCCCCCCCGAGGCCGGGACAACATTCAGCGAGGATCATCGAGGTTCATCGAGGAGCATCCCTTTCTCTCGGCATCGCACGGCGTGTGCATGAAAACGGTGGGATAGTCGACTACTCTACGCGTTTTATCTCTGGAGGGCGCGCACGGTATCGTAGTTTATTTGTATTTTTTATTGTTTGTTTTTTGTTGTTTGTTTTTTTGGAAAGGCATGCAAGCAAGAGGTGAAGAGAATAGTTTTGCATATACGAAAGGAAATACTCTCTTTCAGAAGTCGTGGTCTCTTGCGTATAAAGGGAACAGTTATCTTGCAGAAGTCGTAGACGTAGTCTATGTCTTTGCCAAAGAAGTATTCGGATCGCCGACGATTTTCCTCCAAATCCTTCGCCAGAGTGACCCTTGGTGCGGGCCCACTGGGGGTCCCCAGCTCGCCGAATGCGATGCGGCAGCAGCGTGTTGCGTGTTTGTGTTTGTGTTTGGTCTCCGCGGCCCCCAAAATGCCGCGCACCAAAGGTCACTCCTACCCAGGGTCACTCTTGCGTTTAGCCGATGGGGAAGGGTGGGTCACGATAACTGCTGCATGCAGCTAGCTGGTTCTGGCCCCGCCGCCGGGCGCTTTCCTCGATACACTGGCGCCTCCAGCGGCAGGAGGCGCCGTGAAAGCCAGCTACTTGCGCTGATTCGCTACCCTCATCTTTACTACAGCCAACTTTAGTCCGACCCCGTCCTCTTACGGTGGGGACGTGCATCAAGAAACCATATGCTTTTCTTCGTCAGGGTACCCTTCGTCAGGGTACCCTGGGTTCCTTTGCTCCGCGCTGCGCGGTGACATCCCGCGGCCGTTGAAGCTGCTGCGTTCAGGGTGCCCTGGGCTTCCCCCCAGTCGCACCTCTCGCGCGGGTCTTCAGGGCTTGGTTTCTTGCGAGGGTTTCTGGCGCGTCCGCATTGTGCGCCTCCTTTCCTCCCTCCATCTTGTCCTCCCTCTCTCGCTCCTTCGTCGTCGGAGGAGGAAGAGAAGAGCAGGAGGAGGAGGAGGAGGAGGAGGGGGAGGAAGAGGAGGAGGAGGAGGAGGAGGAGGAGGAGGAGGAGGAGGAGAAGGAGGATGAGGAGGATGAGGACGGGTGTAAACCCATGACGAATTAACGATGTTGCACTACACCTTTCCCTCCAGTTTCTTCTTGATAGACACCTATAAGTGTTCACTGCCACTGAGGGAAGTGCCCCGTTGGAAGACAGCCGTGTGAACATCCTGAAGCGTGCTAAAACACCATTCTCAGGACTTGGCCACGCGTCAACCTGACTGTTGCGCCTTGACGATCCTGAATCGTGCTAGAACGCCATTGCTGGGACCCCAACGCCGCGAATCAACATAAACGTTGCGCCCTGACAGTCCTGAATCGTTCCAAAACACGGTTGTTGGTACGTTAGCCATGAGAATACGTAGGACTTGTTTGATTTTTGGAAGCGACTGTGCGCGGCGCTAAGGTGAGAGTTACAGTTTGAATAGCAGCCACACTCAATCCGTGAACCTCTTGCAATTATTAAAATGAAGCTACGCGGCGCCAACGGCGAGAGCGACATTGTGAACACGAACCGCCCTCAATCCGTCAAACTCTTGCAATACTTTACAGCGAATGTGCGCGGCGCTAAGGCGAGAGCCTCATTTTGAAAATCACCTGTCTTCAATGTGTGGAGTTCTTGCGCATTTCAAGACGAATGTGCAGGGCGCTAAGGCGAGAGCCACATTTTGAAAACGGCCCGCCCACAATCCGTTAAATTCTTGCAGATTTTTCAAACGACTGTGCGCGGTGCTGAGGCGAGAGCTCCATTTTGAAAGCGACCCGCCCTCCATCTGTGAAGCTGTGCCAGTTTTTAAGCTTCAGGCTCTTTAGTGGCCAGGCAGTCCCAGGCGAAATGCCCAGTCCGCCCTTCTGACTGGCCTCCATGTGCGACAGGGAGGAGTTGTTGAAAGGAGAAGGAGGAGGAGAAGTAGGGGGAGGAAGGAGGAGGAGGAAGGAGGAGGAGGCTCGATCTCGTGATCGGAGTCCGTGCGACGTACAGGAGGAGGAGGAGGAGCTGGAGGAGGAGCTGGAGGAGGAGGAGGAGGAGGAGGAGGAGGAGGAGGAGGAGGGAGGAGGACCTGTGTAAACCCAGGACGCATCAACGATGCTGCCACACACTTTCCCTCCAGTTTCTTCTTGGTAGGTCCCTGAAGCAAGTTGTTCTCTTTGCGGGAAGCGGCCCGTTAGAAGAGCAGCCTGAGAAGCCCCAGTCGTGCCAAAACGCGGTTCCTGGGACGTCAGCGCCGCGGATCAGCGTGACCGTCGCTGCCTCATCCTCGCAACTCGTGCCAGAATCACCACTTCTGGGACTTCGCCGACACGAGTCCTTTCTAAGCGGTTGGGGCAGCTTTTCCGAAGGCTGCGCTCGGCGAGGAGGCGAGACCAACACTTCGCGAAGAGGAGCCGCCCTCCATCCTCGCAGCTGCTGCAGCAGTTTAAGAAGCCGACTGTGCCCGGCGCATCGGCGAGAGCCACATTTTGAGAACCGCCCGCCTGCCATGTGTTAAGCTGCTGCGAGCTTTTGCCAAGAAGGTGCGCGGCGCTCGGGCGAGAGCCGCATTCTGAGAACCACCCGTCGCCTCCATCCCTGAAGCCGCTGCAAATCTTTAAGACACACTTTTTTTGATCTGCGGGGCGAGAGCGAAGCTCTTCCGCTAAAAGCTAGGCGGGCTACGCACAGCTTTAATTAGGGAGACAGGGCACAGGAAGGCGGGGCCTCAGGCGGCCAAATTTGTAAGACACACGTGCGCGGCGCTAAGGCGAGAGCCGCATTTTGAAAACAGCCCGCCCTCAACTTGTGAGCGGGTTGCGGTTTCCAACAGGCTTCAGGAACACACATCGGGAGGAAGCCTCAAGCGAAACGCTCGGCCCGCCAAACTGACACTTCAGAGGGTGTGACCAGGGGGGAGTCATTGCGAAGGCCTCGCGGCCAGTGCCACCGACCCCGAGGGTGGGACCTCCCCCCGGACCCGCGCTTGCCACCGCCTCCCGGGACCCCCCAGGATCATGGTTCCTGAATTTCTTCTCATTCTCTGGGACTGACGACGACGACGACGACGACGGCGGCGGCGGCGGTGACGACGACGACGACGACGACGACCACGACGACCACGACGACGACGACGACGACGACGACGACGACGACGACGACGACGACGACGACGACGACGACGACGACGACGACGACGACGACGACGACGACCTCCACACGCCGAAGAGTCGGCATATTCAGAAGGACAGGGCATGGTGCAGGAGGGAGGAACTCGGAACTCGGAACTCGGGGATCCTCGAAAGACCGTCACTCAGGACGGCACTGCCGGGGGCGTGCAAGACACAGGTAGTCCTGCAGGCCAAGAAGGCCCGTAGAAGGGCCAGAGAAGTTCAGAAGAAACCGCAATCTCTAAGATATGGAATCCAGGTGCCGAAACTGCCACCAGCACGAGTGCAGCCTACAAGACAAGCAACCTCCCAATCCCAACAAGACAGCGAGGGAGGAGAAGGAGAAGGAGAAGGAGGAGGAGGAGGAGGAGGAGGAGGAGGAGGATGAGGAGGAGGAGGAGGAGGAGGAGGAGGAGGAGGAGGAGGAGGAGGAGGAGGAGGAGGAGGAGGAGGAGGAGGAGGAGGAGGAGGAGGAGGAGGAGGAGGAGGGAGGGAGGAGGAGGAGGAGGAGGAGGAGGAGGAGGAGGGAGGAGGAGGAGAGGAGGAGGAGGAGGAGGAGGAGGAGGGAGGAGGAGGAGGAGGAGAGAGGAGGAGGAGGAGGAGGGAGGAGGCTCCTCCCATCGCCGGCACGCCCGACGGCTCCTCCCGCCGCCCGCCCCCCCTGCCCCCGGGGGGCCTCAGGAGCCGGCCGCGCCGGCCACGCCCGAGGCCACCCCGGAGGAGCCCCCGCCGGGGGTGCGGCGGCCCGCCGCTGGCCGCCCTTCGCCGCCGTCGCCGGGCGGCAGCGTCGGTCGCTCGGTCGGTCGGTGCCGCCGCGTCGCCGTCGTCGTCGTCGTCGTCGTCGTCGTCGTCGTCGCCGTCGCCGTCGTCGTCGTCGTCGTCGCCGTCGTCGCCGTCGTCGCCGTCGTCGTCGTCGTCGTCGTCGCCGTCGTCGTTGCCGCGTCGCCGTCGTCGCCGTCGTCGTCGTCGTCGTCGTCGCCGTCGTCGTTGCCGCGTCGCCGTCGTCGCCGTCGTCGTCGTCGTCGTCGTCGTCGTCGTCGCCGCTGTCGTCCGCGTCGCCGTCGTCGTCGTCGTCGTCGTCGTCGTCGTCGCCGTCGTCGTCGTCGTCGTCGTCGTCGTCGT